ATATTTGTCATTTATTAGTTATGACATTTCCTCTTCATTTTGGAAACATTCTGTTCTTTGCCTGATATTTAATTTGGTATCATTTGATTTAGGATATACTATTAATTAATGAAATACTAGATTAGGTGGATTATTAATAAACAAATAAAATACTCATAATCTTTTAATGGTTAATAAATCCCACACTTGCACTTATTTGGTATAAAATACAATATAAAAGCAAAATTGCTTGATCATATTTTCTAAGAATTGCCAATTTCAGTTTATCTGCCCTAGTAAAGTAAAAACAAGTATTTCTCTCTATATATCGTATTTGAGGGTGTTTTATTTTTATTTTTCATTTATTTGTTKTTTATTTCAGGGATTGAACTCAGGGGCACTTAACAACTGAGCCACATCCTCAGCCCTTTTTATTTGACAGAGGTCTCACCAAGTTGCTTAGGGCTTTGCTAAGTTGTTGAGACTGGCTTTGAACTTGGTATCCTCCTCCCTCAGCCTCCTGAGCCTCTATCATTACCATGCCCAGCAAAGGTGCTTTATTTTAAAGTACTATGAAATCAAGTAGGTAATATAAGAAGTTGGCAATGTAAGTTAAAACTAGAAAATAAGTATAAATAACAATTGATTCATTTTTTCCCTCCTTTTCTCACTTCTAAGTGAAGATCTAACTCTAAGAAGAAGATGGAAAGGCTCTTAGTTCCTAAACCTTAGTTTTCTCATCTGTAAAATATAGATAATATAATTTAATCTTAAAGAGGATTGAGAGTAACTTTGTCTTACACAGTGATGGCATGTCACCTAATGCTCTGTCATTTACCATGTGAATTACCTTGGCCAAATTACTTAATTCCTTTGAACTTCTGTTTTATTCATTTGTACAGCAGGACTAATGTATATAAGATGTTTTGCTTTTGAAGGTTTTGTTGTGGGGATCAGATATATTAAAGACATGTGAAAATGTTTTTTATGAAGTATTAGAAAACAGATAATGAATTATAAAGAAGTTGCTACTGGTACAATTTTTTTTTTCTATTCCATAGTGCTGCATGTTCTCAGATTAACAAAAATATTATATGGGGGTAGACTCAAAGTCTTTTCTCTGTACAACTCCCTTCTTACTGTGATACTGATACTTACAAGATACTATTCTCAATGTTTATCTATAGCAAAGCCATCAGTGGCCATGGAGCAACTGTCCCATGCTAGCTCTAATCACTGAAGAACTACTGGACAATTAATGAAATTTCTGCCCCTTGTAGAATTTAGAGGTGGAAAAGTAGAAACAAGTCTTTTAGATGCTATATAAGCAATCAATTCCAACAATGCTTTTCCCTCCCTCCCAACCTCCCTGCCACTCCCCTTTCTTCTCCCTCCCCCTTCCCCTCTTTCTTTCATACCTAGGATTGAACTCAGGAGCACTTAACTACTGAGCCACATTCCCAGACTATTTTTTGTATTTTATTTATAGACAAGGTCTTGTTGATTGCTTATGGCCTCGCTAAGTTGCTGAGGCTAGCTTTGAACTTGTGATTGTCCTGCCTCAACCTCCTCAGCCACTGGATTACAGGCATATAATTACAAGTTAGTGATTATAAATTAGTAATTACAAGTTAGTGATTACTAGTGTCAACCAGTCAAAAACTACTTACTAAACCATATTTTAAAAGTATAATCTCCTTTAACCAGAACAACAATGTAAACTAAGAAACAGAAATAATGGTATAAAGAAAATTTGCAAGCAATTTAAATTGCTGATGGGCTGGGGATGTGGCTCAAGCGGTAGCGCGCTCGCCTGGTATGCGTGCGACCCGGGTTCCATCCTCAGCACCACATACCAACAAAGATGTTGTGCCCGCCGAGAACTAAAAAATAAATATTAAAAATTCTTTCTCTCTCTCTCTCCTCTCTCACTCTCTCTTTAAAAAAAAATAAATTGCTGATCATTTTTCTCTATTATTAACAAATAATTTACTTCCTTATCCAATTATGAAGTTAAATTGAAAAAGGAGATAATTTTACAAGGCTGACTTTTGGCTTTATTTATGAATTTTCTAGGATATGGTTATGCTGTACCTAAGTTCTTAAGAGCTATCAAACATCTTCTTTGCAAATTAATGATTTACTAAACAGATGGCTGCTCTCTTATTAGAGACCTAGAGTTCAAAATAATGCTAAGGAAAGTGACAAATTAAGCGTACAACACTCTTTTATTAGGCTTACATTTGAAACCCATCCCAGTGAGGATAGTATGAGTATTCTAAGTTCTAGAAAGATTCTTTCTAGGACAGAATAAATAAAAATTTGGTATATAGCTGGTTGTTGCTACTTATTAAACTTTTTACATACGTAGAGCAGAATATCACATATGCAAAGGTTAATATTATTAGAAAGACATGGCACTATTGCATGCTGAGACAAAAATGTGTTTAGAAAGAAATAGCACTATTGCATGTTGAGACAAAAATCTCACATCATTTAGTTCAAATCATTGCTTTCCTATTTTAGTTCAAATCATTGCTTTCCTATTTTAGTTCAAATCATTGCTTTCCTATTATTGTTTTACTTTGTTTAGATTCAATGGATATAAATACATTAAATAATTCAGTAAACTGTGATACTAGATCAATATAGAATATCCTCAGATAGTAAACTTGTTCATCTTTCTTTTCAAGTCAATAGGATTTCAGATGGAGGGAATGTAATTTATCACTACATCTAAAGCTGTCTGATCAACATTATGGACAAAAATCTGCCTAGATCCTATAGAGAAATTCTCTCTAATCTATTTAATTTCTTATGTGAATTTTTCAGCTGGATCTGGGAACCCAATTAATAAATGCAAGAGCTAATTAACAAAAGAAAAGCATAAAAGTTGTATTCATTTTACATGCATATGGGATCTTCCCCAAACAGTGAAGTCTGAAGAAATGATTAAATCATGATGTTTTTGGACTTTTTAGATAAACTACAACAACYTTGTGAAGGAAGGACAGGATAAATGGATATCCGAACAAAGGCAATAAATTCTAGGGACTTTACTAAGAGATAGATGTAGGGAATGTAAAAGTGTTACATCCCAGAGAGGCTCAAATGTGAAACAATGTAATAATCTTTAAAGTCGAAATGATTGGATTATGAGAGCCTTAACCTACTCAGTGCACTAATCTGCTAATAGAGATTAACTGAGTGGTAACTGTAGGCAGGTGAGGTGTGGCTGGAGGTGGGTCATTGGGGCTGTGCCTTTGAGGTACATATTTTGTCCCTGGTGAGAGAAGTACTCTTTTTGTTTCCTGATTGTCATGTCCTGGGCTGCTTTCCTCTGTCACACCATTCTGCCTTAATGTTTTGCTTCACCTCTGGCACAGAGCAATGGAATTGGCTGTCTATGGACTGAAATAGAATTGAGGCCTCTGAAACCATTAAGTCCCAAATAAACTTTCCTCCTCTATATTGTTCTGATCAGGTCTTTTGGTCACAGCAGCAAAACAGCAGACTAAAACAAGAAGCTAGTAGAAGATAAGGGTTAGGTCAAAGAGTTTGTTTATTCAGGTTCATTGCAGCTTCAATTATCAGTGTCTGGTACCCGAGGCTATTTTCCAGCCTTGGTATGTGAAGAACATACCTCCAAAAAGAATATGACTTGCTGTATGTAGTGAAAGGCCAGGTGGCCCTTTCTAAATTTATAGTTGCTCAAATGATTTTAACTTTATATTAATATACCAATCTGGCATATTTTGAGGTGGCATGTCTTTAATTGCTTCTGTTAAAATCCTGCCTCTCTTGAAAAATAGCTGTGCAAYCTGTAGCAAGTTACTTTTCTGTGCCTCAATTTGCTCATAAGTTAAACAATGATAGTAATACTATAAATCTCATAGGGTTCTTAGGATCACAATACTTGGAATATTGTTTATATGATATAAATATTTATTAATTTAATGGAATTGACAAAAAGAGATAGCAGGAAGAAATTACTGAGAAAAGTTTCTACAGTTACCATTCTGTTTTATTAGTAATGATTTTTTTTTTAATTATGAGTAATTTCCTCCACTTACTTCAAGTCAGTCGCTACCCAATAAATACCTACACGGGGCTTGGTGTTCTGAAGACACAAAATAAATGTGTGTGACCTTGGATCCTCCAGAAGTTAATTTTTCTACTCTAAATTTGGAATAAATGCTCACAGAGCAAAGTTTAAAGGGATATAGAAAAATTTACTAGAAGGCTACATAAATGACYGAATAGAGTTTATAGCAAATTCAAGCGCTCTAAGATGTATATTAATAAGAACTCAACTGTGGTGGGGAATATATTTGTTTTGCAATCTACACCAAAGGTTGCTAAATCTGATGATGTACAGCAACAGAAATTGTGCAAAAATAGTAATGTTTTCCTTTGTCTCTCCTGGGAAACCTGACAAAACCTTTGAGAGCAATCATGTAAGGCCATGGCCAGTGACCGTCGCACTCAATGCATCTGAGAAATTGTGACTGAAGCCCAAGGACCAGAGCAACAACGTGGTGGGTTTAGTGAGTACCTGCTGGTGGAAGAGAAAGGGAAGCTCCTTTCACAGCCATGATTAAAGACCAAGCATTTCCCAAAGACTGATGCTGACAGTAGGGTCAGAAGGATCCTAGGTTTCCCCCCTGCGTGTGTTCTCCGGCCCGATAGAGAGGTTCTTCTCTRGCCCAGGGCTGTGCGTAGAAGGCAGTCTTTGAGTGGCGAGCCTCCGAGACTCGGGGCACAACGTAAGCAAACTGCATCCCTGCACGATCACCCGCGGCTCCTCTAAAGAGCAAGTGAGCTCCAAGCTGAAGGGGGATCTGCGTTTTCTAAGCTAACGGTTTCCAAGCCGCCTCCCTCCCCTCGGGGCACGGGCCCGAGAGCCAGCTGCAGCAACTAAAGCCTAGAGACCTGCCCCACACGGCCTCCGCCCGGCACCGCTGGGGTCCACCGCCCGCCCCCGGTCCCGGGTTCGCGTCACTTCCGGCGCGCGCGCGCCCGCGGAGACCTACAGGGGCCAATGCTGAGCCCCAGGAGCGCGGCTGCCGGGGGCGCGCAGGGAGGGCGGGCCGGGAAAGGGGGAGTGTCTGCTCGCCGCTGCTGCCGCYGCCGCCACCGCCACCACCGCCGCCACTACTACGGCTGCCACCGCTGTTGCCTGGGAGTTCGCTGAAGCCCTTTCCTCAGATCCGGCCGGTTCTGCCCGCCTGGACTCCGGGCCCCACCGACCGGCGCATTCATCGCTCTGACGGGTGCARAAGCGGGAGTTGCCTTGGTCTGTGGAGCGGCGGGGCGGCCCCAGCCCCTCTTCCCCTCCCTGACCCCTTCTTGCCATCGCCCCAATCATGGGGAACGCGGCGACCGCCAAGAAAGGCAGCGAGGTGGAAAGCGGTGAGTCGATGGGTTTGGGTTCCCGCGGTGGGGGCCGTYGCCGGGCACCGAGCGCCCCCGGGTCGTAGACCCCAAGGCCGCGCGCATGGCCGGGGCCTAGCAGCGGCCGCTGGGAGCCCTCCCAGGGGGCCTCGGGGACTGGCCGCCTTCCTCCTCCGCCCCCTCCCCCAGTTCCGGGGAGCGGGCAGTGCGCCAAGGGCCGGATGGAGGGAGCCAGGGGCACCGTGGTCCCYGAGGTTCCCTTTCTCCCTGGAGCCAGGAGGACCGCACACAAACTCAGCACTTCCCCAAATATGGTCCGGGGAAAGAAGTCCCTTGTGTCTTCGCGCCCCTAGGTCCTCCACAGCATCCCGACCCCGTCCTAGTGAGCCACAGGTAGTGCTGTGGGTAGAGTTGGCTCTTTTCCCTCCATCACTGGGTCCAGCCCCATCTTAAACAAGGTGAGGGCTGCGCGTGCGGCCCCGCAGGTAAGGATATCCTGAGTCCAGAGATCGTTGTCTCTTCAGATTAGAAATGGAAAACATAAAACCAAACAGCAACTTTATCCATTAGAGAAAAAAGCAAGACAGGTTTGCCTTTTCTTTAGACGTCCGAGAATCTACTACGATGCCTGTAAAAACTTAAAGGTCTTTTGGASTTGAAGTGCTTCCAGAACACAGTTGATATCTTCTGAGAGCTGAAAGCGCGGGCGTTCAACACTACACCAAATGGGGGGAAAAATCATGGATATGGAATTTCTGTATGGCTATCAGGATTATATATAAACACACATAGCAGAATGGTTGTGAAAGAAAAATGTAAGATTCATATTAGATGTTATAATTCAGAAGGACTAAATAATAGTTTTTTTGCTGTTTGTTATATCACCAGGAGTTAATTGATATCTCAGCACTTAAAATGAACCTGGTAATTTATTCAATCAAGTTCATGTAAATATCTTTTAATGTTTCTATGTTTGTAAGAGAAGAATTGGATTAATTTTATAATTTGGCTTGAAGAAAATAGCTTTTTTTTTCTGTACAAATAAAGTAGAAGGGTTTAGTCATTCATTTTGTTTAATATGGATAATGAGATGAGATTATAGGGTTTGTTTCAATAAGGTTTTGGTGGTAAATTTCGGGAGCTCCAGAAAAGTTTCAGAACTACCAAACTATTAGTGACCATATTTTACTATGCAATATGTAAAGCTTACATAGTCAATGTAGAACGCATTATTTTCTTGAATTACACAAATGTAGTAACCAACTATAATAAAGTGTAAAGAATTTGGAAAGTATGAAGAATTACTTGTACCTTACAAATTGTCATTTCTCTGTTAATTTTAAATTCCGTTAAAGATTTAACTATCCTTATTTTGTGTCAAAAGTGTGCTTGGTAATTGAATCATATCACTGATTTTCATTAGCAAGAATCTATACAGTGTTTATATTTTTAATAATGGTAGTATACTCCTTTGTGTTTTATACATTTGTTGTTACATTACCAAACCAGTTTCCCCCCTAAGAGTGTTAATTTGAAACTTCTATCTGTGACATAATCTTGAACTATTTGTAGAAAACAGAATGGAAACTTTAAATATTTATCTAAACATATTTTAATTATTTCTATTAATTATTTCCAAAGTTTTAAGTGTTAGTGGCAGCCATTAGGTATGTTAGCTAGCTTTTCCTGTAAGTTTGTTTATGGAAACTGAAGGTCATTATAATAATTTGAAAAAAAGTTGTGACAAAAGAGGTTAGTTGATGATGTGTCCAAGAAGAGTTATTCGAAATATCACATGTATTGATCAATGTTTGTAGTTTCATGTAGAGCAATGTTATCAGGTATGTGTTACTGTTCTACTTTAGTGAACAAAGAAATTGTATTATGTTTTAAAACTTAATGAAAGTTAACTCCTCATTACATACCTAACTGTTCTTTGTATTTTTTAAAATAATTACTCTTGAAAATTTGTTTTCAAAAGCTGAATGTAGTTATTAAACTTCCTTTGATACATAGAATAAACTTTTAGAAATATAAGTGATCCTAGAGATCAGCCTGTGCAATCATTTCATTCAAAGCCAGAGAATCTGACTTTTGAACAACCTGGGGTTGAGATCATACTACTGATAATAACAGAGTAAGGAATAGATCTGATGCCTTGACTCTTTTCATTATTCCATAATCAATGAATACATATACTTTGCAAATATTTACCTTGTATTTTAGTTTTAATTGGGGACCTTGTAAATAAAAGTTYAAACATTTTACTATCTCTTATGAGAGAGAAGATGTAAATGTAACAGTTAACTGAAAGTCAAAATGTAAATGCTAACATGAAGTGAAGTTAGAGCACTGAAAATTGCTGATAAGAGTATTTGATGTGAAGAACTGATTGAAAATTATCAAGTTGCTTAAAAGTTGAGGTTTGCTTAAGGCCCGACCTCACACAGGCAGGTGATTCTAGAATTTGGTTCTAAAAATACTCCTGAAGAATGAAATTAGGCCTAAAGATATTTGAGAAGGGTTTTGGTTTATTGTACTTTATCAAAGCCCATCCCTCTAACTCATAAAATAGATATTTTCTGGGGAAGATCTGTAAGCCAGGGAGATTTCATTCTCATGTCTAATTTCTGAAATGGCATTAATTTGGGTACCTGTTGTTCTGCTGTGGTAAACTAGGAAATTGTATTGATGTGTCTCAAAATTTAATGAAAGAACAGTTCTTAATCATTACTTACCTATTGTTCTATGTATTTTTAAAAAATACTCTTGAAAATAAGTGTTTTTCAAATTGAACATAGTTATTTAAAGAGCAGCCAATATACAGAAGCGTAAACCTTTAGAAATATAATGTACAATTCTCTTAGATATTTTAACTGTTATCATTCAAGATTGTTTTATTCAATAAGTCTCCTACCTTTTACTTACCCGTAGTCACCAACATAGAAAGCAAATGCCACTTTTTTTTTTAAACCCCAGACAGGTTTTTGTTTATTTTCTTTTTWAAAAAAAATTACATTTACAGGCTGCCTGTGGATCTTTGCATTAYACACTCATGGTAAAGGCTTTGACACTAAAGGAAGAAAAGTGTTTGTTAAAGATTTGAATGTGGATTCTCCCATGATTGCCAAGTTATAAGGCCACCCTTTAGTTTAGTGATTATATATCTTGAATATTTTCCAGAGACTCTTTTGGTCTTAAGAACTTGAAGGTGAATGGAAATTAAAGTCATCAATAGATTAGGTTCAACAAAAATGCAAGTTTCTTAATAATTAATGTTTTTTGAGGACCCATATGCACTCGGTTTTCCAAGTGCTTTGTATGCATGGTTCTACTTGATCTTTCCAACCTTGGGTAGAGATTCACTTCAGTCATGTAGGAAGATATTGGATTAGGAGAAAATGGTTGTGCTCCTGACCTCGAAAACCCCTCTCTATATTTTATTTCAGGTAACTAGTTGTATGAAGAACCTTGTCATATTCATTAATTGCCTAAAAATAAATGTGTCGTTCTCTGGTCACAATGTCTTCTTTTTGTTTGCTTAAAAATATTTCCTCTATCATTATTCTTCATCAGAACTTCTTATTTATTCATCAACTATCTGACCTGTCACTTCTTCATTTATCTTTTTAAAYAGTTTAGATTATATGATCCCCCAAACCCTCTGGAATTTATGTYTTATCATATCTATGTGATAAAAATTTAACTCTGATAAATGCAACTCTATCTGCACACTTAGTGTTTCATTGAAAAACTAAGCACCGCTGGGAAAGCCACAGTGATGGATACCATGGATTCACTGTCATCATTCTCAAATGGACTGTCAACATGACTTGACAATTCTACCACAATTCTCTGATCAACTGTGTCTCCTATTCATAAATCTCATTTTCATTCTTTTCTCTGACTTCTCTATTGTCTCTTGTTCTAATGATGATTTTGCCTCAGATGTCCAGTGGAAAATAAAAGCTATCAAATGGGAACACTTTTCAGCTTTTTTATCTCATTCACACCTATTGTATTTTAACTTTACTTTTTATTTTGCTATATCAGAGGAATCATTAATCCCATTCCTACATTTAGTAACTTAAAACAATGACCACATTTATCTGTATATGAAAGTGCAATTCGAACAGAGTTCATTAAAGACAGCTCGTTTCTACTCTATTTGACATCAGCTAGCTCAGCTCAAGGCTAGGGACCAGAGTCACCTAAAGATTTGCTTATTTACATGTCTCCTTTTTTTTTTTATTTTTTGAAGTTGGGGATACTGGGGATTGAACTCAGGGGCACTCAACCACTGAGCTATAACCCAGCCCTTTTTTGTATTTTATTTAGAGACAGGGAGAGTCTCACTGAGTTGCTTAGCATCTTGCTATTGCTGAGGCTGGCTTTGAACTCTAAATCCTCCTGCCTCAGCCTCTGAGTTGCTGGCATTACAGGTGCATACCACTGTCTTCAGCACATGTCTCCTTTTGAATCTAGCTATAGATTGAATCTTAGCTGAGACTCTCTGCAGGATGACCTCTGACATGGCTTGGGTCTCCTAGTATATCGTTGGTTAAATTCATGGAAGAGTGAGCAAAGCCAGTGGAAGGCCTATCACTTATTATGACCAAGCCTCCAGGGTTAAGCAATGTCACTTCTGTGTTCTATTCATCATAAGTGACTCACTTAGATGGGTCCATATTCAAAAGAAGGTAAAGTAGATTAAATCCATTGATGGAAGGAAATAGAGGAATTTTTAGACTAGTTTGTTAAACTACCACTTTGTATATTTTTCTCTGGAAAGCTAAATTCCTCCATGGTTGCTTTGGAATTTTTCCCCTCCTGTTTCATAAGTTAATGGGTATTCTTCTTTTTAAATTCAGTCTGACTTTTCATTCATTTTGAAAACATGCACCCATTTTTCCTTAGCTTTCAGTTCTTTTGTTTCACTGTATTTTCTCTTTCCATTTTTCATCTTTCATCTAGTGTGAACTGGCCTGTGCTGTGGTCCAATCAGGTGACTTTGGTGG